TTCCACCATGATTGTGTAAGTCCCCTCCCGACACCCAGGCAGGCAACTTTTTGTGGCTTTCACTTCAGAAGAGTTGGGGTGGTAGACATAGAGGGAGGCGGGCAGGCTGGAGGGTAGAAATTCCACCCACACAGAGGGGCATCTGAAACCTCCAAGTTCTTCTCACTGCCCCTGCTGTGACTGTTGGGTTTCTAAAACATGACTATCCTCTTGATCATCAAAATCATACAAGTTTTGGATGGGCTACCCCTGGTGGTGAGGGGGGAGTTGACAGCTTTAGTAATATTAGATTTCTTAAGCTGAGTGGTAGGACAGGGGTGTCTGTAACACAGGTCCCCGAACCACTGCCGGTCTCTATTAGGGCCACATGACTTTCCAAATCCAGAGTTCTGTGGATTTTAGAAGGTAGTACATGGTGTGTGCACACTAGACACATTACAGGACACGCCCATGGGATCCCAGTGGCACCCTACAGTCAAGTCCACTGATATTTCTCTGCATATGAATGATCACATGAAGCAAGATAAGTACTGTATTAATATTATAAACAGCCTTCCATCCAAACGGTCACGTTTGCTGACAAAATGTAAAAAATCTTGCAGCCTTCAGAGCTTGTTTGATTTTTTCTTGTAAATGGGATTGACAATCTTAGTTGCGGCGTGTGAGATCTTTGATCTTCATTGCAGTGTGAAGGAGCTTTTAGTTGCAGCATGCACTATCTAGTGCCCTGACCAGAGATTGAACCCAGGCCCTCTCCATTGGGAGCACAGAGTCTTAGCCACTGGACCACCAGGGAAGCCCCTTCAGTATCTCTTCATGCATGAAAATGACAGCCAACTGTAACGTAGGCATATGGTGGAAAATAGAGAAAAGTATAAACAAAAAAACTCACCATGCTCATTCACGGCCATCACCCATTTGTCATAACTAAGATCAATGTGGGTTCGTTGCTATTAACCACACTCCAGACTTTGAATTTCACAAGTTATTTCACTGATATACTTTTTCTGTCCCAGGACCCAATCCAGGTTAGCACATTGCCTTTAGGTTTTTAAAAAAAAAAAAAATTTTTTTTAATTTATATTATTTACTTTCTTTTTATCTGAAAAGTTCAGAGTCCCCTAACAACCAGCTATAAACCCCATCTCCCAGAAAGCCCCTCTTCTTTCCTCCTCCCCTGACTTTTCTTGGAGTCCCCTCTTATTTCTGGCTCCTGAGGACTTCCCTTCTTGCATTTGAGTCTGACTATGGACATCATGCTTTTTAGGAATCTGTTAACCAAGACTTGGGTGTGCTGGAGTGCCTCCAGAAGTCAGTCTGAAGCAGCTCTTCAGTGGCAGGGAGAGTGCCGAGCAGATGTGTCCTGGCCAGGGCAGAGCAGTGCTAGGACTGGGGCGGGGGCCGCAGCGGGAGGACTCCCAGGGTGGCTGAGGGAGGGGTTGTTTTCTGGGAGGTGGGTAAAGGAGTTGCAGATCAGGCCAGGAGTTAGGTCGAGATCATGTCAAGGAGACTTAAAGGCCAGAAGAAAGGAGTAGAAGCACATAGAAGGCGTGGGGTGTGGGAGGACATTCCTGGGTTGCCACTGGTGCGAAATGGCTGGACTGGGGAGGTGTCAGCCTGAACCTTTGTTAAAATGGCAAGAGAGAGGAGTGGCCCTCGAGGGTCCTTCATTGCACACACGGAGCTCCAGAGGCCGAGAACCAGGACACTTGTTCAAGGTCACATGTCACATTCATGTCAGAGTCCATAGTGTCTGTGGCCCCCAGCATTTTTATGTATGGATGGATGGGTTTCCAACAATAGCTGTTTCGTTCTTACTCTGGGCCAGGCCCACATAGTTCCTGACTTCTTCAATCATATAGCTTAGAGGGCATGGGCAGTGATAGATAATAACTAACTAGCCAAACAAAAGACTATGTAACCACTCATTGTGCCTGGAGCTATGAATTAAAGACAGGTGGTCAGAGAAGGGGCTTATACAACTCACAACCCCAATTTAAGAGGCCATTTGAAAGTTATCCAGTGCTATGGGTCTCAGACTTTGGCCTACCTCAGAATCACCTGCAGGGGTGGCTAAGACAGATTCCTGGGCTCATTCTCAGTTTCTAACTTGGTGGGCCTAGGGTGGAGCCTAGGGTCTGCATCTCTAACAAGTTTTCTCCCGGGTGGTGCTAATGTAGCTGGTTGGTCGGGGGGGGGGGGGGGTGGCCACACTTGGTCCCCGGAGTATAAAAATGCAGTTAACTCCAACTGCCAGCAGATGACGTATCACTTGGCTTTGCTGATGCTTTCATTTCGGAGGTGGAGGAAGTGAGCCATGTGGGGAAGTCCTGGTACCCGTCCAAACCTGAAAGAAGCTGTTGAGAATGTGGATAAGTGAGACTCCAGGAGAGGAAGAGCCATGTGATCCCCCAGCTGCAGGTTCTGGGGAACTCCCTTCCGTTTTCAGATGACTGATGCTAGGCTGACCCCAAGAGTCCCGGGGCCCACTGCTCCCCACACCTCTCCCATCACTCAGCATGGAGATTCAAGGGTCCTGGGCTTGGGGGTCGCTGCCTATTCTGAGGAGGGCCCCTGCTCACAGTGAACCTCGTTTTTTGCCCCCACTGCCCCAGAGATATATCTACTGGGCAGCCGTCTGCAGGTCTTCGAGCCTTGTAGTTGCTCATCCTTGAGACCAAAGAAGGGCCAGGAAACAGCAACAGAGACATCAACGGTTTATTAGACAGGAGATCTTAAGCAGGAGCTCCTGGAGCGACTGGTTATGGTAGACAGACCATGGCAGTGGGGAAGAAGGAGGCTACCATTTATAGAATAACTGACATCATGTGGGCTGATCATTTACCAGGAAAACTAGCAGCTAGGGCGTGTCCCTCACCACCCTTCAGGTTAAGGACCACGACCATCTGAACCACTTCGAGGGCAGGTGTTTCCCTTTAATAAACTAGCAGGTGGAGCCGTTCTGACCTCAGGATTAGAACAGTCAATCCCTAGCCAGAGGCTCCAGGGCAAAGGTATTCCTGTGAGTGGGGTGTAGGTAAAGCAGATAGTCGAACAGGGGGTGTACAAAGAGCAAGTGAGCTTGCACAGTCACCTGACCAAACTCCATGCCTACCATCCACGCCTCCTACTCCAGGAGGATTTTCTTAAACCTCTTGGATTCTGCAGTGGAGTGAGTGGTTGACTCAGCAAATCCCACCCTGGCCCCTCTGAGGTCAAGCACAGAATATTGGTGGGGAAATGCTGTTCCTTCCCTCCGGGACTTATGACCTGACTTCTGGCAAGGGAGAAGACTCCAGAGTCGTGATTGGGAGGAAGAGGCACCATGAATGATGGAAGCAGGGGTGAGGGGAGGTGGGGGTTGGGAGGGCATAAACCGGAAGGGCCTGCCCAGGCAAAGGCCTAGCAGCGGGGATGGCAAATCCCATGAGAGTGCTCACAAATTCTCTCTGCGGAGTGCCCTAAATATAGATGGAAGCACTTGGAATAATTCCTAGAGTTTCTTTTCTGAGGGATGGGAGCACAATAGAGGCCAAATTCGCATCTTTCTCTCTTTTTTTTAAGCATACTTTTAAAAATCATTGTGATTTTTAAAATAATTTTTATTTATTTTTGGCCGTGCTGGGTCTTCGTTGCTATGCTGTCTTTTCTCTAGCTGCAGTGCGTGGGCTTCTCATTGTGGTGGTTTCTCCTGCTGTGGCTCCAGGGCTCCAGAGCACAGGCGCCATGGTGGTGGCACGCGGGCTTCGTTGCCCCGAGGCATAGGGGATCTTCCCGGATCTTGGATGGAACCCGTGTCTCCTGCTTTGGCAGGCGGATTCTTTACCACTGAGCAACCAGGAAAGCTCTGCAGGATTAAACTGAACTTTTTCCACATTGACCAAGGTAGGTGGTCTTGGCAGACCTGGAGAAATAAGCCCCATAGTATCTCATGTCTTTAAAAAAAAAAAAAAAAAAAACCAGAGGGCCCTGCTGTCTGTCTGCAACGGGACCAGATGATCCTTCCCTAATCTCACGACCCTTCTGCCTGTGTGTCTGTTGGGAAGACAGTGAGACTGGAGAAATGGGATCCTGGTGATGTCAATTAAGGGGGTGGAGGGGGCAGGAGAGCTCCCTGAGCCTTGGATCCCCTCTGTGGATGGGATGATAGTCACAGCACACACACACACCGCCCCCCTGCCCCAGGGCCCAGGAGGGACCACTTGGGAGATATACCACTGGGGGAGTGGGGGACAGGAAGAGAGGATGGGTTAGGATGTAGTTTTTCATGGACATGTGGATGAATGCCCTGCAGGCCATGGGGCCGTCTGCCCCGGGGGTCACTCTGTGCCTGGGGAGGTTCACCATGGGCCTGTGATCTGTGGAGCAGTGTTGAGTCTGCCCAGAACTTCCTGTGGATGAGCATCACCACAATGGGTGCCCTTTGAGGTCATGTCTCCAACATGTGGTCTGGAGGAGGGTTTGGAGACATGTGCCTGAGAGCAAGGCTCTTGCTCACCTTCTAGGCTCGTCCCAGGCAGAGCCACAGGTGCCCCTGACTCTCAGTCATCGAAGTTTAGTGGTCCTGGGTCCCCACTCTGAAGGTGCCATTCCCTGCGGGTGGCAATGCACACCCACAACCCGGCCAGAGCACAGATCCTGGCTCCTGGTTCAGTGGAGAATATTGTCTCTGTCACCCCACGGGTGGCTCAACCCATCTTATTATTATTTTTTTTTTTTTTGGTTGCACTGGATTTTCACTGCTGTGTGCCAGCTCTCTCTAGTTGCAGTGAGCTGGGGCTGCTCTTGAGTTGCGGTGCTCAGGCTTCTCACTGTGGTGGCCTCTCTTGTGGAGGGGGCTCTAGAGTGCTGGCTCAGCAGATGTGGCACTCAGGCTTTAGTTGCCCATGGCATGTGGGATCTTCCTGGACCAGGGATCGAACCTGTGTCCCCTGCATTGGCAGGCAGATTCTTATCCACTGGGCCACCAAGGAAGTCCACACAGGTCTTGTAATGGCACTCTAGGAGGCAGCAAGAGCCCTGCGCTGGGAGGCTGAGGCTTGGTTCCTGGGCCTCATTTTCCCTTCCTGTAAAATGAGAGTGTTAGACCTAATGATCCCCAAGTTCCCTTTTGATGCTGACCTTGTAAGATATTTGTCCACATGGCGTGACTCTAATGGCGGAATCTCAGGCGCCGTGACTGGGGTGGGTAGGAGGTATTTTGGAGAAGGCCCTGCCTGGCGCTTTCTGCTGCCTTCCCCACAGGACAGGTTGAGCTGGCCCCGCAGTCTTTTTGAATATCTGCCTGTGCATACGGCTTTGGTAGGAAGGGAGCGGGAGCTAGAATTACCCTGCCTGGGTTTCCCAGCCTCCTCGCTGGTCAGCAGAGAGCATCTCTCAGACAATCTCTCTTGCCTCCCCCTTGACCCCCTTCCCCAGCTACCAGCAGGAGTCCCATTTCCTGACCTGCTTCCTGCGGGAGCTGTCATTCATTTTCTGTCCCCTGTGGTTCCAGTGTTGGGCAGGAGATACGGGGCAGGGGGGGGGGGTGCTTCAGATTTAGACAATGGCAGGGAGGGTAAGGGGATGTCACCAAGGTCCAGTTTCTCATAGAAGAGGAGGAGGATGGAGCCTCTAAAAAGCAAACCAGACTAACATGGAAGAGAAACTCTGATGAGTGCCAGCCAGCCCACTTTATGATGCTCAAAGCATATGTCTTCTTCCCACCTCAGGCTATAATACAAGAGGTTTCTTTCTGCCATCTCAGTCTTGGGAGGTACCAGGCTCCCGAGAAGCTCTGTGAAGAAAATCCCTCACTGCCACATTGGCCAAATGGAATGGGGAAATGGGGAAATGACCAGGAAGACACTGGCATGTGCAAAGTCCCTGGGGTAGAAGGAAACAGGAAAGAGTCAAGAACCTGAAAGGAGGTTGATGTAGCAAAGAGGAGAGGGAGAGAGACAAGGTCTGGGTCCACACTGTGAATGTGCAGAGGGGGCCTGGCCTTTACTTTGATGAGCAGGAGAGATGGCCGGGGGCAAGGGCCAGAGTGGAACTTGGCAGAGGGACACTACTTAGAGTTTGGGAAGATTTGAGGGGACGGCACCATCTTCTGAGCCAGGTTCTCTCCTCCTCTCTCCCCTCCAAATGCTCTCTTGGGCCTGTTTCTCTTCCTCCTTCTGGGTCCAAAGCAAGGTCTGACCCAGTAAGCTGACCAGGAGTGCTCATGCAGGCTGGCAGGCAGGGCTCCTGGCACAGGAGTCAGTGTGGTTTCACTAGTTCCCAAGTCCGGAGTCCAACATGGAAATTCCAGGCCTTGGGGTGTAAGCCTTTGTGGGTAGTGACACCAGTTGGGAGACTCACTCTACCCAACACCCCCAAGGGGGCTGGGAAGGCCAGGCCCCCACATTGATGCCCCAAGGACAGTATGAGGATAACAGGGCAGCTCCTTCCCCAAAACAGAAACTTCCACCATCACAAGTGACAGAGAGCTAGCTTGGAGTTCTGCCACTTGTGGACCACAGCCCAGCCAGGACCCCACAAGGCCCTGGGACTCATTTCTACTCCAGAAAGGTGCAGCCCCTCAGCTTCCTTCACCGTCCTGGGAGAGCGACTCTGCACAAGAGATGCAGTTAGCATCTCATCACTGCAGCAAACAGGACATGTGGAGTCCCAGAGCTTGCCAGAACAGCGCCAACCTGCTGGACGCCTCTCCCAACTCCTGTCCCTTCCCTCCAAACCCAGAGACTCAGACCTAGGCTTACATCAAAAGACTGGGAAGTCCCCCAGCACAGCTGGGGGCATCTGCTGCTTCCTCCAGGGAGGAAACAAGGGCTGCCCAAGGCCAGGTCCTGTGGATGCACATCCTGCCACCTGGGCTGCTGACCCAGGAGAGGTTAGGGCCCTTGTGTGGGACCACCCTTGGGCAATAGGGAATGCAAGGGGAAGGCTTGGTCTTCAAATCTGTGTCCAAATACCAGTATCTTGAAATAGTAGTTTGGAGTCACTCTGTCTCGGTTTCCTCATCTGTTAAATGGGATGATAATAATACTTTCCACATACCTTATCTGGTATGATAAGGACTGTGTTAGTTTAGAGGGACTATCACATGGTAGCCAAGAGCAGGGGTTCTGGAGCTCCCCCACTTGGGTCTAAATCCCAGCTTCTTTGCTGCTAGCTGTGTAATCTCAACATGTTACCTCTCCGTTTCCTCACCTGTAAAAATGGAGATAAAAGGGCTGCTATGAGGATGAAAGGAGCAAGCACAAGTACCTAGAGTAGGTACCAGGTGCCCACGAATGTCAGGTACTGGCTTTACTCCATGGAAACGGTACTTGGCACACAAGGTAAATGGTACTCGCTCAGTAAATGTAGGCTCCATCCTCTGGTTCCCTTGGCTGTTGCGCCTTGTGTTTCCTACCCCCAAATTCAAACACACAAGATTCCCTTTGATCTCCCACCAGTAAAATTTTATTACCTTGTTCACACTCAAGTGTAAATGACTGATAGTCATTTAATTTATACCAGATGAGCAGTCACACCTTCAGCCAAAGGAACGATGTGCTGATGGTGGATTCTCAGGCCACAGGCCAGGCTGAGGGTAGGGGGCACTTGGGAAGGTAGCTCTCCCAGAGTCCTTCAGTGATAACCTTATCAGCTGGCCAGGTACCTCAAGGGTAGAAAGGATATCAGGTCCAAGACCCAGCTCTGCTCCTAAGTGCTATGTGACTTTCAGCAACTCACTTGACCTCTCTGAATCTCAGCTTCCTCATGTACTTAAGAGGATTACTTTTCTGACTTTCTCAAGGGGCTGTTTGAAATTAAATGCACCTGAAAATGGTCTGCATTTGTCTTTCCAGATTGTGGTTATTTGTCCATGCGTCCGTCTGCTCTCCCCAGCCTGCACAGGGAGCTGTTCTGTGAACACGAGCTGTACTGAAGTGCACATCCCGATCTTGGGACATAACCCCTTCCATGCACCCAGTCACAGCCCACATGCACTTTCTCATCCATCTCGCACCATGCCCTGCAGTGACCTGGGGAAGCTGGGAATGCCCTGTTTAGCAGAATAGTAAACTGAGGCCTGGAGGGGAGGTCAGGGCATTTGCCTGAGACCACATAGCTAGAAGTGGTGGAGCTGGGAATCGGCCACAACCACTTGACTGCAGAATCTCTGCCATCACACGATATCTGGTCATCAGAGCTGGTGCTGGAAGGGCAGCAGCTTCCCTTCTCCCTTCTCCCAGGTTTGTGGGATTGGCAGAATGAGAGCAAACACACTAGGATGCCTCACTTGCTTCAGGCACAGGCTGCATCAGCCTTAACTGTAGGAAGTCAATTAGAGATCTCTAAGTAGAGGGATCATCACCCTGCAGACAGCAAACTTCAGGCTCAGAGAAGTAAAGGCATTTGGCCAGGAAGTTGAGGAGCAGGACTTGAACCCAAGGATGTCAGACACCGATGGTTGTGTTTGTGACCACTACCTGGCAGTATCCTCACCCCTCCACACCTGGCTTGAGAGGCAGGGGGACAGAAGATCTGGGAGTAAGAGCTGCTTCATTGTGGGGATGCCAGGGTGAAGTGGGTGGATGGTCTTCCTAGCAGGCAGACCTGTCCAGGAAATGTACCCTCTGCAGGAGGACAGGACCGCCTGTCTCCAGAGGAATGCAAAACGCCAGGGAGGTTGTAGTCGATTCTGAAAGGGCAGTGGACCAGTGACCATTCGGGACTGCTGCTGACCCCTCCTGGGGGCGCCTTCGCACCCTCTTACCGCTCCTCCAGTCCCCTTTGTCCCACCCACCCTCCCTGGTCTCTGCCTGTGACCCTTGTATAAGTTGGGCAAGTTCCTTGGCCTCTCTCCTAAATTCGTAGGTAGTGTTTAAGCGCCCTCCAAAGGACCAAGGATAATTGGTAAGACCAATTACGGTTGTTCTCTTCTCCCGTCCCTTCATCCTGGAGAGCACCAAGGGACAGGAGGCTGGGCCCCTGGGGGCTGAGTCTCCTCCTCCTACACGTCGAGCATCGCTTCCCACCCTGTCCCATCCCTCCTTAGTCTCCAGGGAGGCAGGGAGAGCGGAACTCAGCCCGGGGTCTACCGGCGCACCCTGGGTGCGCCCACCCTTATCCCTGCGCCTCGGTTTCACATCCAAGGAAGGGGCTTGCGCTCCCCGTGTCCCTTAGTGCGGTCTCCGGGTCCCGTCCGCACAGGCGGCGGAGCGCAGCAGGCACTGGGGCGGGTGTGGTGCCCCGCCCATCCCGCGCCCGGGCACCGAGAACCCACGTGATTTCCCGGCAGAGGCAGCCGGCTCCCAGAGCCCGCCGCCCGGCTGCTGTGCGCCCGCTTTCAGTTTCAAGCGGAGCGCAGTCAAGTCGGGAGCGCAGCCGGTGAGTACGCAGCGCTTCGCGGGGCGAGCGGCGCGGGAAGGTTGGGGTGCGAAGGCGGCGCGGTTGCTGGAGAACTCTGGAGCCCGGCGTTCCCACGGCCAGGTGGGGGCTGGCCAGGCAGATAGATGGTCAAGTATGGGAGGTGGGCCGGCTGGACTGATGAACGGGTAAACAGCTTGGGGCGCCGGTGGGCAGGGCGGCTGAGCGCCTGAGCGCCTGCCGCCCAGGCAGAGTTTGGGGGACGAGTGGCGAGCCGCAGAGGAAAGCGAGTCCGGGTCACCCGGGTTGGGTTTCGGGACGCGGCGGCGCGCCTGCTCCCTCCCACTCCTCCACCTTCGCAGCGCTCCTGTCACCTCCTGCAGCTTCAACTTCTAATTGCCGGGCGAAGAATTCAGAAGTCCCGCTGCTCCTGGCGCGCAGTTCAGACTTTTTAGCCGAAAAAGCTTTTCAGGATAGACAATTCCAAACAGGTGCAAAAGTAGCCCTAGAATTTAGGTTGAGCTCTACAGATAATGCCTTGTTTTGATATGACCAAGCCCCGTGTAACCACCACGGTGGTTAGCTTCAACAAGCCAGCCCAGTTTCACCCCTGCCACATGTCATTTTGAAACAAATGGAAAACAGACATCACAGCACCTCAACCGAAATTTTTCACAACGTACTAAAAGAGTTTTAAACAGACGTAGCCACCTCACCATCACTTTAAATTTTTTAACAGTAGTTCCTTCATGTCAAATCTTCGCAGACTATTCTTGATGAATAGTTAAGCTCAGAAGTAATAGGTGAATACACGGGTGGCTTTTTGTTTACATGGGTGCTGTTTCGTTACTTGCTTTTTGCGTTTTCAAGTCGTTTTCAGCCATTTTCTCATGGAGGGGGCGGGAGGGGGACAAGATCTGGAGTTTGTTGGAATGGCCCTTCTGTGCCGTTTGAACATCCATTTTAGAAGTTGGGGTTCTTATGTTTATTTTTTAAGAAGTTAGAGGTTCAGCAGACTTAAAGCCATTTGAAAACCAGTACTTCCCAGCCTCCCAGACCTGGGGATAGCAGAAGGTGGTGTGTATCCAGAGCCAATACCTGGAGCCTCATTTCTCCAGATTGCTTTTCTTTCTCTCTAAGAAGCTATAAGCTCAGAAAAGCATGAGGTTCAGTCTCTTATCAGAGAACAGAAGGGGAGATAAAGTTGATGATTTCATGGTGCATGCAGGTTCCCCATCTAGGGTGCTTTTCTCAGAGCTTAGTTGAAGATAGCACCCACTGGGCTGGTCATTGACTATGCCCACCTGCCTTGCCTGCAAAGCACAGCACCAGCTTGATTGGCACCTAGAGAGGAAGGAGACAAATCAGGGCTCTCAGCACCTTGAATTTGCTTGGTGGTGGTGGTGGTGGTGGTGGTGGTGGTGGTGGTGGTGGTGGTGGTCAGTCGCTAAGTCATGTCCAACTCTTTACGACCCCACGGGCTGCAGCACACCAGGCTTCCCTGTCCTTCACTGTCTCCTGGAATTTGCTCAAACTCATGTCTGTTGAGTCGGTGCTAACCATCTATCTAACCATCTCATCCTCTGTCGCCCCCTTCTCTTCCTGCCCTCAGTCTTTCTCAGCATCAGGGTCTTGTTTGATGACCATGGCTGTTGTATCTCTTAGAACCTCGGTCTCGCCTGTAAAATAGGGATGATGATATGTCTTTCCAAGTGTTTTTATGGGTTGATGGATGAGTATGCCCTGTTCATGGTCAACTTCAAGGTACTGCATGAGGGTGAGGGGTGAGAGTCCTTAACGAAGGCAGACAAGCAGAAGGGAAAGTTCTTTGGAAGAGTCTGACGATGTGCTTGGCCTTATTCCTCCAACAGATAGATACAGAGGTGATGGATGTTTGTGGCACCGGTCCGTCTCCCTACACTCCCTACATACACCTATCTCCTCGCTGAGAAAATCCAGCCAAATTACTTAGGGTGTCTTCCTCTGTCTGTTATGGGTTGAATTGTGTCCCTGAAAAAGCTAATGGTGAAGTTCTAAGCCCTCTATTTCAGAATATGACTTTACTTTGAAAAAAAGATTGCAGCAGATGTAATTAATTAAGATGAGGTCATATGAGAGTAGGTGGGCCCTTAATTCAGTATGACTGGTGTCCTTATAAGAAGGAGGCTGGCATAGGAGATAGAGACAGCCGTGTGACACAGAGGCAGAGATTGGAATGAGACATCGACAAACTAAGGAAGTTCAAGAACTGCCCGAAACCACCAGAAGCCAAAATTGGCAAGGCAGAGCCCATGCCTTGAAGCTTCAGAGGGAGGGTGGCCCTGCCCGCACCTTGATTTCAGATTTCTGGCCTCCAGAACTATGTGAGTATAAACTTCTGTCATTTTAATTCACCCATTTTGTGGTCCTTTGTTACAACTGTAGCAAAACTAGAAAACTAATTTGCCATCCCAGAATCTCCCCTCTGCTTTCCAGTTAAATACATATGCAACTGCTTTGTAAAGACTCTGTGCTTTCACTGCAGGGGGCACAGTTCAATCCCTGTCCGGGGAACTAAGATCCCACATGCCATGTGGCATGGCCAAAAAAAATAAATAAATAAAACGTTTTGGAGGCATTCTAAAGATGTAAAGTACTGGTTTTCTTTACCGGATCTGTTTTTTGAGTGTTGGCTGGTAGCCCAAAGTCGTGACTGAACCTCAGTCTGCAAGGCAAACACCCAGTTGATTTGAATAGGAAAAAAAAAAGTGAAAAATTGATCAGGCTGGCAGTTGGTGCAAGGTGTCTGGAGAAGAGAAGGCTTTTGGTCCCTGAGACTACCCTGAAAGACCATGTTTCTGCCATCCACTCCCCTTAAAATGAGGTGGAAGTGGTGAGGCAGGTAAGAAACTTGGTTATATATTTGGGACTTGTTACCCAAAAAGTAAGCATGATTATGTAACCTCCATGCCATCTGGGGTTTCCTAGATCCTTGAGAGCTGGGTGAAATTGTCATGAAACCCCTTTATACCCCTTTGGAAAGCCCTAAGTATTCTCAAGCTCTCTGTGGATCTGAAAGGTGAAGACGAATGTGAGCTTAGTTCTTCTGACCACCTCTGACCCCAGACTCTTCCACTCTGCAGTCATTCTCTCTGCCTACTAGACCAGGGC